TTTCCACTGAAATATACACTATAGCACAAATTGGTCCCACCATATGGGTTGGTCATACAATATGTTTAGAGGATAGCGACACAAACCAAGAGTCATTTGTTCTGTGGCTTTGAGGCTGTTAAGGAGTCCTACAGACAATAACAGAGAAACACATAAAAGAGATGCATTTTTTTTTTTTTTACACAAAATGCATAATTTTGGGTCTGTCTGAATTGGTCAAATTTGAGTGCCACATTTAGAATATATACATTTAGACCTAGTATGAGTACCATGCAGGGATGACCTAGCTGGAGATGTACAGTACATACTGTATGTGTCTGTGTATCAAAAGGAGCTTTTGCAGAATGTTGTGTCATGTTGATTGATGGCAAACTCATGCTACGCTAAGCATTTACAACTTACCTATTGTCTCCACCACTGATTTTCATTGAATGATTTTCCTAGACATGTTTTTGACACCTTTTCCAGATTTAATACATTTTACTTCTGTAACAATAAAACCAAGTAACACAGCATTTGCAGCTCTTATAATTTATTCTCAACAGCTTGGCTTTTACTGGGTAGCTTGAAATCAGCAGAAAATTGATCTCCAAACTGGTAAAGTCTTTATTCGTTTTTGTGAATGAACAAACAACGCTGAAAATCTTACCCTTACATAGATTTATCATAGCAGTAGTTCTGCAGATTTGTAAATCTCATGAATGTGCACTTAGGATTATTTATGCAGTTGTCTAAAACTAAGAATGTTTATTGAATCTGATGTGGTGCACTCATAGGAAAAATGGTAGGAGAAAAATCAAGAGAAAGTTATGACAAGGATACAAAAAATGTTGTTGCACAAGGCCCAATTAATCCAGATTGGAAGCAGGTTCTGTGACTTAACGCTTCAGGTCTTCATCTAGGTGCATGGCTGCCTGTGTGTGCAAGGTTGAAACATTATGTTCTAGTGCAAGATAGAGCATTTTCCTCATCAGAGTGAAAGGCACATGAGTAGCGAAACAATAAAGCGGATCCAGCAATAAGGAACTGCACAGACGGTGTATATATATATATATATATATATATATATATATATATATATATATAT